TACCTGTGTTCCTTTGTTCGGGTTTGTTGCCCAAGATACATGCGGGTTAGAAGTGGAGATCTGCAAGCTTTCGTCGAATCCCCAGTTTAGCCTTCGTGGCATTTCCTGTTTAGGAGGGTATGGGGTTAAGGGTTTAGGGTATTGCGGTTAGTTTTTAGGCTTTCGGATAGGCTTTAGGGTGTGGTTTGAGTGCCCTAAACCCTAAACCCTAAACCCTAAACCCTAAACCCTAAACCCTAAACCCTAATGTTTAGGGTTTGGGCTTAAGGATGAAAGCCTGTACTCACACCAACCTCCTGGAAAGCTGAATATACAAACGCCAGGGCCCAAAGCGTGGGAAGACAAACCCCCACAAGCCCTATGTTGGGTTTAGGGTTCAGGGTTCAGGGCTTAGGAATTAGGGTTTAGGGTTTAGGTTTTAGGGTTCAGGGTTTAGGGTTTGGGTTTAGGGTTTAGGGTTTAGGGTGCTCCTGTGAGAGTGTCATCCTCGAGAGGTGCACCGGCCCTGACAGGGCCGGCACGGAAGAAAAGCCTTAGAGCCCAGCTAAGAAAGCTACCCCAAAGCAAGCCTTGCAACACCAGGGTAGCCGGAAGTCTAAACCCTACCTATAGTCTCCATTTTAGTTCCTTTTTTGGTTTAACCAACATATATTTGGGATCCCATAAGGTAACTCCAAAAAAGGAACTACAATGGAGACTATAGGTAAACCCGAGGACCCTACATCCTGAACTCCCAAGGCTGGGAAGGTTCTCTTAAGATCAGAAGCAAACAGCTTAAGGCTGTGAAGCTGTTTTCCGTGAAGTTCGTCATCTTCTACTATCCCTTCGTTCGCTTCCTGCTCCCTGGGGCGAAGTGGTTCCGGTTTAGGGTTGGGCTAAGTGCTCATGCAAGTCAGCAGTGTAGTTTCGGAGTACTTCTTGAGGGTGTGTAGTTTTTGTAGTTTAGGGTGTGGGGATTTTGGGGTTTAGGGTTTAGGGGCTTTTTTGTGGGGGCTTCGGGTTTAGGGTTTTCGGGGTTTTGGGTTTAGGGTTTTTGGGGCTTAGGGTTTAGGGCTTTTGGGGTTTAGGGTTTAGGGGCTTTTTTTGTGGGGGCTTTGGGTTTAGGGCTTTAGGTTTAAGGGAGGGCTTTTCGTGTTTGGAGCTCAGTTTTGGGGCAAACTCATAGACACAAATCGAGCTGCCGAAAAGTATGGCAAGTCAAGTCCCTAAACCCTAAACCCTAAACCCTAAACCCTGAACCCTGAACCCTAAACCCTAGACCCTAAACCCTAAACCCTAAACCCTAGACCTTAAACCCTAAACCTAAGCCCTAAACCCTACACCCTAAACAAAGATGTAGGGCTCTCAGCGAAAAGAGAAAGTCCGTTCATGGCAGGATGGGGCTCAGTGGGGCTGTACCAGGACCCCCCAAGGGCCCTTTGATGGAGCCCTTATGGCGCTTAATCGTGGGTATTTAGGGTATATTAGAGGGCAGTTGGGGGCTCTAGGCTTCGCACGGGGGTTTCAACAACTAGGCATGATAACGTGCCCTCGTAGCCCCTGCAACTTTGCTGTACGGAAACCCAGGCAAGAACAAGGGCCACCGGAGGAAGAAAGAGAAGTGGGGTTTAGGGTTTAGGGGTCTAGGGTTTATAGGGTTTAGGGTCCATCCTAAAGGCGTTTATGGACCATGTTCTCCGCTCGTTTGAGGGTTGCTTCGAGGTTGTCTAGAAAATTCTTATAGATCTGCGCAAAGGATTTTGGGACTTGACATGTGTGTTTGGGAGTTACAAGGGTTCTTACTTTTCTGCTTGGCGTCCGCCCGCCCGCGTCCCGCAACCCGCGTCCCGCCGAGCGCCCACTCTCCAACCGTTCCAGGCGTAGGGTTTGGCTTTCAGGGTGTTGGAGTTCAGGATTCTATGTTTATGTATTATATATATATACACATAAACATTTTTCTATATATATGGGATTACATATGTGTATCTGCTTGTGTATGTAAAGAGAGCGAGCGAGAGGCAACGAGAGAGAGAGAGAGAGACGGAGTGTGTGTCTGTGCGTGTGGGCGTTTGAATTTGAACTGCAATGCATATTAGGATGTGAACGCACTGCGAAATGCAGGGTTTCGAGTGAATCCACCTTGTTTCCCTAACCCTAAAACCTGAGCCTTAAATGCTAAAAGCTGAACCCAAATGCCAAACCCCGAATCTTAAACCCAATGTCCCAACCCAAGACTGTCTTGCTCTAAGTCCAGTGCCCAAACTCAGGTTAGTTCAGCCGTTTACGACGGAAGGGTGTCCGGGCGATTCTGGGATGGAAGGACGGCTGTGCTTTTGCATGGTTTTTTTCTGGTTTAGGATTTCGGTGTTTTGCATAAATCATGGTTGAAGGTGGCACCCTCTCCAACGACAGACCCCCTAAGCCAGCCAAATGCGCCCTGAATTGATGTTCGTATTTATTCAACATAACCCTAGAGGCTCCATATATGCTACTATCATGGAATTAGGTCCCAAAAGACAACCCATGTTATGGTTTTGGGGACCTGATTCCATAATGGTAGTGGATATGAGAGTTTCAGAAAATAAGGGACCCTGATATAGTAGGATCCTTATTACAAGGACCCCAAAATAAGGTACTCTAGTTTTCTGAAATTCCCATATAAAGCCTTTGGGAACCCTAAACCCTAAACCCTAAACCCTAAACCCTAAACAGCATATATCACCCCAGACCTTCTCAATTGAGACGTCTCAAGCCTCAACCTGGAGCTGCCGGGGTCCAGGCCATCGGTCTAGGGTTTTAGGGTTTAGGGCTTTAGGGTTTTAGGGTTTTAGGGGTTTAGGGTTTTAGGGCCGTAGGGCTGTAGGGTTGTAGGGTTTTGGGTTTTAGGGTTCAGGGTTTTGGGTTTTGGGTTTAGGGTTCATCTTCCCCCACATTGACCTAGACGATTAGCGGAACACAACGAACCAAGGCCAATCTTAACTCCACAGTATGAGGGTCATTGTCATGGCTGACACCTGCGAAAGGTTGCTGTGTCCTGATTAGCTCCGGGGAGAACACGGGGAACTGCACACGCAGTACCGACATCGATGCAAGCTGAACCACGTGAGTAATCATGCTTAACAGTTCCTGAAGAAGCCATTAATACTGTTGATGGACAAAATTCTGCATGACCCAGATATAGTATAGTACCATAAAACCCATAGTTTAGGTATATAAAGTCATGCAGGATTTTGTCCAGCAACCGTACGAATGTAGAACCGCAGCGCCAGGTGGTCGTAACATAGAACTAGTTAGCAGCAGTCTTGGTCGACACCACCAAGCTGGACCAAAGACTAGCGGCTGCCATATTCCCTAAACCCTAAACGCTAAACCCATATGGCATGATGCCGAGTTCGATAGGTGTTTTTAAGCCTGAAGCCAGGGCCCTGATCCCAGAAGCGAGCCATGATCCCTGCATTTGACTGCTTCGCTGCGCTTATGGCCTAGGCTGTTTATGGTTGCTTTGTGACAATCCCGGCATCGTGGCATGTGCTTCTGTAGTTCAGGATCATCGTTCTTCGAGCACTCTCGTTAGGGTTTAGGGTTTAGGAAACCTGTGGAAACCCCACAAAAACCTCCTCCTAGGAAAAAGAAGCCGTCTTTCCCTAGTACAGAGATCCGTGAAGCTTCAATCCCCAAGTCCAACAGCCCTTCCTAAAGTCTTCAGTGCAGTTCCTTTTTGGGGATGCCTTATAAACATCCTGAATATATATGTAACTGGTTAAACCCAAAAAAGGAACTACTATGGAGACTACAGGTAAACCCCAACTCCACCCCTGAACCCTAAACCGCCCACCCCGATTAGGGTTTAGGGTTTAGGCCCTAAACCCTAAACCCTAAACCCTATAGGGTTTAGGGCTTAAGTTTATCTTGCCAAAAAACCCCCAAGTGCAGGATGCATCGAGGTCTTGAAGGCAGACCTGAAGGTCTTTTTTGTCACGCAGGCTCGGCTGTATGTTGTCTTGGTCTTGATATGAGGCTTAAAAAAAGGTTAAAGAGGCATCTTACAAGGGAGCTATGTCTGTCTATGGAAAGGTGAGCCAAGCTCGTTCCAACGCATCAACACCTAGGAATATCCGGATGTTCAGAGCTTTTTTAAAGAACCCATGGACCGCTCAAATTCAGCTTATTTATTATCGATGTAGGGTTGGCGGCTGAGGGTTCGGCGTTTCAGGGTTTAGGGCTTGGGATTTTTGGGCGTAGGGTTCAGGGAGTTCATCCACTAACACTAGGGGTTTGGGGCTGAGGGTTTGCCCCAGCAAAGGTGGTGATTGAATCCGCCCTTATTGTGGTTCTTCATGGCTGCCGCTGGGATATAAGGGTACCGGTGTTTCTGTTTGTGGGTGGAACGGTTCTTCAGGCATATCTGTAGTACGAACGTGCAAACGAGTTGCGGCTTACAGTTTGTTGCCATAGCTTTCCGTCCTCATGTCAGGCAGCTGTGATGGTGCTAGTTTCAGATCCTGCTGTGGCCTACTATTACTTGGACCATGTCGCGTCCCCGCATCACCCTGCCCTCAGAAAGAGAAATGATTCCTCCGGGTTCCAGATTTCTTAGTTAGCCAATAGGAGAACTTTAAACTTTTTGGCCTTATCTATTAGGTCTATCTCAAAAAGTTTGAACTTTTTTGGGCCTGGTTGTTGAAGAGGAGAGGATTATGAAGTCTAAAATACCCCGAATGCTGTTCCAATTATTGAGGCCCTTACATTGCCCTTGACGCCAAGGTGCTGGAATGTGAGAGGGATCCCTATATAGTCTTTTTCTGATAGCTTTTGAAATCCCTAAACCCCAAACCCTAAACCCTTTCTAGGTGTTTGGGCCTTGCTCCCTTGAAAGGGCTCCCAGCATAAACGGAGAGATCCGTCAGTCCTTTTTATGATTGTAAGTAGGGCGGCTGGGCTTCAGCCCCAAACCCTAACCACCCGAAGGTTGTAAAAACATGAAAAAACCGAAACCCGAAACCTTCAGCAGAAACTGGAAAGTCTTCAAGACCTGAAGTTCTTACGGGAAGTTGTGCAGGTGATCAGTGAGTTTCTCGAGATCCTCTCCGCCTTGGCAATGCTGAAACTTAGTGGTACTTAGAAATAATTTTTAATCTTTGGTTATTATAAACCCTAAGAAGCAGCTAAAATTACAATTTTTGCTAGGGCTCTAAGTTCAGTATAGGAAATGGAGCATGTCGTCCGAAGTGGCGTCGAAGAAGCAACGACTTTCGGCTCTGAGGTTTAGAGGGCTTCTAGGGTTTCTAGGGCTTATAGGGCTTGTAGGGCTTATGGGGTTTATAGGGTTTATAGGGTTTATAGGGCTTACAGGGCTTCTAGGGTTTATAGGGTTTATAGGGCTTGTAGGGCTTATGGGGTTTATAGGGCTTATAGGGTGTATAGGGCTTATAGGGCGTATAGGGTTTATAGGG